CCCTGATGGACACCACTGACCATGTCCCTGAACTACCACTGACCATGTCTTCAAGGGCCATCACTAACCACCACTAACAACATCTCCAAGGGCCATTGCTAACCACTGACCATCCTAGGGCCACCACTGACCATGTCCCTGAAGGTACCACTGACCATGTCTCCAAGGGCCATCACTAAGCACCACTGACCATGCTAGAGCCACCACTGACCATGCTAGGGCCACCACTGACCATGTCCCTGAAGGTATCACTGACCATGTCCCTGAGGGACACCACTGACCATAACCCTGAGGGCCACCACTGACCATGTCCATGAAGATACCACTGACCATATCTGACCATGTCTCCAAGGGCCATCACTAAGCACCACTGACCATGCTAGAGCCACCACTGACCATGCTAGGGCCACCACTGACCATGTCCCTGAAGGTATCACTGACCATGTCCCTGAGGGACACCACTGACCATAACCCTGAGGGCCACCACTGACCATGTCCATGAAGATACCACTGACCATATCTGACCATAGGGCCACCACTGACCATGTCCCTGAAGATACCACTGACCATATCCTCAAGGACCATCGCTAACCACCACTGACCACGTCCCTGAGGGTCATCCCTGACCACCCCTCACCATGCTAAGGCCACCACTGACCATGTCCCTAAGGGCTATCACCCATCATATCCCTGAGGGCCATCGCTGACCACTGCCAGGGCCACCAACTGTGTTCCCATGGGCCACCACTGGCTGTGTCCCAAGGATACACTGCTAACCACCTCCCTGCCAAGGCCACCACTGACCAGATCTCTGAGGGCCATTGCTAACCACCACTGACCATGTCCCTGAGGGCCACCACTAATCACATCCCTGAGAACTACCACTGACCACGTCCCTGAGAACGAACACTGACCTTATCTCTGAGAGCCACCACTGATTATGTCCTTGAGGGCCACCACTGACCATGCTAGAATAACCACTGACCACATCCTTGAGAACTACCACTAACCATATCCCTGAAGCCACCACTGACCACTGCCAAGGCCACAATGACCATGTCCTCAAGGGTCAGCCCTGACCACATCTCCAAGGACTATCACTGACCACGTGAGCCCCTCCAAACCTCTCTGGGTCCATCCAGTGGGGTCTGACCAAGGTGTGAGCTCCTCCATGAGCTTCTAGGCCCCCCCAGACCCCTCCCCAAGGTGTCCCCCATACCTCTCTGGACACAGCTCTCTTTGGCTCGACGACTCTGCCGTCCACCTTGTGTGGCCTGGCGTTCATGGCCGCGTCCACCTCCTCCACCGACGAGTACGTGACGAAGCCAAAGCCTCGGGAGCGCTTCGTGTTGGGGTCCCTCATCACCTGGGGGGACACGGGGCAGGGGGACACAGGTGAGAGGACACAGTGTTGGGTCCCTCATCACTTGGGGTGACACAGTGTTGGGGTCCCTCATCACC